TCTTCTTCTTCTTCTTCTTCTTCTTCTTCTTCTTCTTCTTCTTCTTCCCTCTTTCCCTCTCATTAAAAAAATTAGAAAAAACACAAAATGGATTCAACTTACCAAAATTTGGGTGGAGGTTGCAGATCCCAAGCTAAAAGTCTTGTTTGCTAGACTTTCTTGGCTAACTATTTCCAGTAAAGCCAGTTATATTACAAAAGGTCTACTAGTTATTTTGAGAATGGTAATACAGGGAGTGCTTGGGTAGAAATTTCATTTGGTGTCACAAAACATAAAACAACATATTTTGAAAGCACATATGCCAGAATTACTGTCCCAGGGTTGCCCCAGATTATAGCTGATAAAAGCCCATAATTTTTATAGAAATGCAATCAAGATCCTATGCAGACTTATGATGTAAATAGCCCTGTGTTAGAGTATCTCCACTTGTAATATTTGCTGATCTTGCCCTAGAAATGTGCATTGATGGTGCTAATAGCCTGAAGCCTAATGTGTTTTTAAAACTTTAGCTCTTCTAACATTTTTTTTCATACTTTCCTACTAGAAAATTCATCAGGATAAAGTGTGCATGGGATCATATAGTTAAATCTGTTAATACAGAATCAAAGGATTTTTAAAATAGTAATGGAAACTGGAGCCTCATTTTTAGAGCCAAGTTATTTTACCTATGGAGAGCTTTATTTACTTGCATGAAAGTGGCAGGATACCCAAATAAAGCTATGAATCTTCTTTCAAAAATGAATTGTTCTGTTTTGGCCAGGCATTGCAAACACACATTATTTTCCTTCAGGAAGAACTAGTTATTAAGTCCTATTACATATTCCAGAGTAAAGGCATCTAGAATTACCTGGCAACAATACATGTAATTCTGAGGCAAGTCACATTATTTTGTTGGAACTGACTTGTACCAGTGTGAGTAGAATACATGATCCTTTATCCTACTGAATACAACAGGTCTTACTCCCAGGTAAGATGGAGTTTAGCACTGCTGAGTTGAGGGAGCGGGGAGGGCAACTGGTTAAATTATTTTTTTACATCAAATGTATTGGTGTAAAAAAAAATATGAGCACATGGAAATACCACCTCACAGATTAAAGGTCCTCCAGAAAGTTGGATTGGAGACCAAGAAGAAGCTTCAAGCTTGAACTGGTGCCTATTTACTCAGAAGTCCTACTGAGGGTGGTAGCTTTATCTGCAGCCTTAGGCCCAGGGGGGAAAAATCAGCACTTCCTACCCTATAACTGGCATTCTTTTGGAGGAAATATCACCAACTGGAGTTGATGGGAGAATCAACTGCAAAAATCCTTATAATTATCCAGAAATCCTTCTTTTATTAAACTCAAGCAATTTGGATTTATGTCTGAGAAAATCTGATCAGGCTCAGAGGATTAGATGAGCCTTTCCACAGTTTCCCCCCTTGCCAGATCAGCCCTGGCCCCATTTGGCTGGAATGAGGGGTATTGAAGTCCAAAGTGTCCAAAAAGGCAGTAGATCAGGAGAAAAAGGCACTAGCCGATCCCTCTCTTGGTCCCCTCTGCCCTCCCTTCCTTTCCGTAACTGCAGCCTGGGAGGGCCGAACTGGTGGTGTTCTGGGGGATTGGAGAGAACTAGGCTGGGGTCGAAAGTCAAAGAGGCTAAACTTCTTAGCTAAGGGATGGGGGGGGCATAGAAGAGGATCGCTGCGGCAGATCTTCCATCGGTGGATAAAGCTGGCTAAACGCCAGACTGCTCTCGGTCAAATTGTTCAAAAACCTTGAGATCTCATTCGCTGGAAATCCAAGGCCAATGACCCTGTTCCAAAGCTTCGGCGGTTGCATGTGATGGGCGTGTAGAATTTTACAATATCTGTACAATTCTTCGCGCGTTCTTCTTCGGTTTTCTTGGAGCCAATGCTTGATCCAGGATGCCAGTGGGCCAGCACACATCAACTCGGATTATTTTCATTCTTCCTAACCCCATCCAGTTCCCACAATACAGTAGGTGGTTAAGCGTGGCTGCTTCCCACGAGGCGACTGGAAAATTCAGGAATTCCGGCTCCCGAACCAAGTTACCCCAAAAAGGAGCGAGGGCTAATTTAAGGGAGAATTTAGTTAAGCTCCAGGAGGATAATGTATTCCCCATTTACTAGATTCGCCCGAGATAGATCTCCGTGACGCTTCCTTCGGCGCGTTTCCTGATTTCATGCCTTGCCAATGTTCCTTCCACCTCCCCTCCTCCAATCCGCCTTCCTTTGTGCTTTAATTTCCCCCTACACACACGCGCACTCGCACTCACACCCTCACGCAGCCTTGCAAACCGCAGCTTGAAACGAGCAGAGTCATAGTTCTGGAGGGTCGCGAAAAGAAGCTTTTTCTTCTCGCTTCGCCCTCTCTTTCTAAGAGGGTTAATGTTTTTCTTTTTTCTAGTAACAGTTTTCTCCCTTCTCCCCTTCCCTTCTTGTCTCTCTCTTTTTTTTCCTCCCAGATAACATTGTTCTCAAAGGGAAGGAGAGAAAATGGACAAAGTAGAGACTCTGCAATTGGATTCGCCCTCACTTCACATCCCGGGGTTATTTCCCCCCTTCTCAGACTATAGCACGCCAAGGATTTTCTTGGAAATGTAGACCCGTTCTTGGTCCAGGTTGCAAAGAGCAGGGCGTGGGGAGAGCAATTGAGGCAAGAGACCTAGAGCCCCTCAGACGGTGAGGTGGCTGATCCAGAGTGAAGGCTGGATGATCTACCAAACATCTCTGCATTCTGATCGAAATCTGAACCAGCTTCCCCCCCCCTTACCATTTTGACGAAGAATGTTGGAATTTTTCCCCTACTTCCTTTCCCTCTTTTTTGCATGCATGCATTCCCTAGAGAGCTTATGAGCCACTCATGAAAGGAAATATGTTACTGGAGTCCCCCACCTTTCTTTTTGAACAGATCTAATGACAACGAGCCCCCCCTTTTTTTAAGGAGTGAGAAAGGGAAATTCTCCCACCCGCCGCCCAAAAACCATTTCAGCAGCAAAACCTTACTGGCTCAAACTCTCATGAGCAAAATATTTCAGGTTCCTTATTAGTTTTGCTTTGTTTTGGAATTGTTCCTGGAAAAAAAGGGGGGGTGCGGGGGACAAAAATGAATCATTCTATTTATTTATTGATGACCCTTGTTAAAATGCAAATAGATCCGGTGTCTAAATGCATTCCTATTTTGATGATTGTTTTGTAAATATCATTGTATATTTTTCTGCAATAAATACATTGAACTGTTAAAGAAAATTAACAGTTTGATCTGTACTGAGAAAAATAGACTTGAAACTCATGGTAAATAATACTGGCAGATAGATCTGGAATTATCCAGAAGTGGAGGGGGTGAGAGTAGTAGACAGGAGGGAAATATAAACAAATGGGGGGAAAGCGCAAATAAACCAGCTACTGATAGACACAGGAGTGTTAATTATTGAGACAGCTTTATGATTCTGTTTGTGGATTTACTGAGCTTCAGATATTAACCCTCTTTCAGTCAAAACAACTAAGTACTTGACAGGTTCAAAAGCAGTGAAATGTGTGCAATCTCTTCCTCCACTCTCTTAATGAAAAACTATTGCCCTCTCTATATCTAGTATCTTTATTAATGTAGAGGCTTTTTGCTATCCTGGAAATCTATGTTAAGATTTGTTGCAGTGCTAAATAAACGGATCATCCACAATTACACTTCAAGTGCATGCTTTTTTTTTGAGACAACGACAAGGGATTGGTTAGATTTATTCTAAAGGACACTCAAGAGCCCCTTTGGTTTTTTTTTAACTAACATTTAATTAGCATAGGCACAGAGGCTTAATACCTGGGAAACTAATAACTGGGAATATAGCGTAACTTGGAAATAATTGATTCTTTGTAAGCTTTAGAATGTTTATATCACCCGGTCTTCAAACTGGCACTCTCAATGCGTTGCCCAACCAGTGTAAACGTGGTTTAGAAGTGATGGGAGTCAGAGTCCAATTACATCTGGAAAACGTCAGGGGAAAGGTTGGTTCAGACTAAATAGATCCGGTAAGCTCAAAATAACATGAAACAAATCCCATTCATTTCCACCAAATTGCCAAGGAATATTCCCAGTTATTATTTCAAAGCAACACTTCCTTTTTAAAAGAAAAAAAAATATCCCTGTTGCTGCTTTCCTGATATAGGGAAGCTCTGTCTTCTGGCGTTTCACTGGGAAAAGGATGCAAACACCTTCAACACCTAGCAAATGCCAGATTGTGTTCCCTTTGCAGATTTCTAAGTAACCCCTCAATTCACAGTCTAAAGATACAAAGGCGAGTTCCCTTTTATGGGCTGAAGTAAAGGGATGAATCCCAGTGGACCATTTATACAAGTAAGGTCCAATGGCAATTAGAGCCAGGGGCTCTATGCAGTTAGTCCAAATCGCAGCTTGCACCCTCTGCACCCTTTCTTGAGGTGGGGGTTGCTTTGAATAACAAGACCCTGCTGCTGCCCATCAGCTTGTCTTTCTGCTCACGTGGGCTGGAGATATAGCTGAAACATCAGGGTTGGTCTCTCTCAGATTTCCACGCTAGCAGCTCAAGGAGGAAAGCATCAAAAGTAGACTTTGACGTCTTCCTTCCATGCCGAATCATGAAGGAATTCTGTTCAGGTCGCTTCAGATTCTGGTGGCTTCCCAGCCTGCAACTGCTATTTGCTCCTTTCTAACTCTTAGAGAACTCTAAGAGAAATGTTAAAGTGGCGGGTTTCCTTCGAAGTTTGTGGTGTTTACTTAGCCTAGATTGTGCTGGCATTCTTGTCTCGCTTGTTTGTCTTTCCTTATCTACCTATTAACAACTCTGAGCTAGCTTAAGCCTCTTATCTACCTCTCGACAGAATATATATTGACTCTCTACACTTCGAATATGTGTATGTGTGTATAGTTCTTCACACAAAAACACACATGTTTGAAGTAGCAGAACCTAGGTATATTAAAGCTGATTAGCCAGGACTTTGGAAATTTTTCGCTGGCTTATTAAGAAGAAATATATATGGGCAGAGGGCATCGTGAAGGAAAAAAAATGAAGACGGTGCTTTGGTTTCCTAAGGGCCAATGGTTTAAGAACGGAAATATTTAAGGGAAACCTTCAAATGTGAACCTAGAGACCCAAACAAGATCCTTTTCTGGGCAATGTGGAAAGGTAGGACACCAAATTATGTCTGCATGTTCTTTTCTCTTTCTTGGGTTGCTCCTGTTATTATAATGGTCATAATAATTACAACGTTAATCTAAGTTACGGTGGCTATCAGCTTTGATTATGTTTGGGGTAGAGTTGGGAGATATGCCATAACAGTTTCTATCAAAGCTGATTTCTAGCATGAACAATCATTGCATACATTTCGGTTCTGTTATTTTTAATTAATTTTAAGTAAAGACAAATCAATTTTAATCTAATCCATTACTGTAACAGTTGGCAAAGAATATTCCTATTTAACTGAAGTGATTTACTTCAGGACAAGAAGGCAAAGAGTTGATCAACCCTTGTCCATCTCTTTTTAGAATCAACTTAGTTTGAACCAGCCAGCACACTTCTAAAGAAATAACTGGATGTACCGTTTTGTGTCCCTTTGATTTTCAGCAGATTTTCTTTCCAACTAAGTAAGTTTAGAATGGCTATTTATGACTATCATACTAAACGCACCTATTATGGAACAAGCCCCACTGAACTCAGCTGAGTTCGAGAATAGAACACGCTTAGGGTTGCACTATAAAGTATATATCCATACGCATTGCATATCCTAATAGGATGTCTGCCTTGCAGTCTGTGCTAAACAAACCGGCGGCTTAACGGGAAGGAACAGCCGCTGATTTCCAACGCAGCTTGTTTTGATTTGTAGCTGAAATGAAAGTGAAACAACTGATGGGGGAAGCGCCTGCAATCAGTAGCAGGTTTTGTTTCAGAACCAAGCAGCACCTGGTTGAGCTTGTTTGAATTGAGAAACTAAGCAGGATTGGGTTTGGTTACTATTTGAAGGGGACACTTCCAAGGAATTCCAGTGGGAGGAAAAACATTCCAGAAAAAGGCAAAAGGAAACCACTTCCTATTCTTGGCAGAAGATTAGACAGTTTGTCCGTGCCTGAGGTCACTAGGCTCCATATCGACGATGGAGTTATACCTCTAAGCAGGACTGGGTGCTTGCGACTGGGTTAGCCCATCATCAGCCCCAGTCCTTTTGAAGGCAGTGGATACAACTTTCAGAAATGTTCTCACAATCTATACCTGATTTCCTGTATCACTGAATTCAGGAAACCTGCATGGAATCGATACCTTTTCTACCTTTTTCCAAACTGACTTGGAAAATCGCAATTAAAGCCTGCTCGGATTTTGAGACCACTCGCTTTCCTCCCTCGCCAGAACGTTAGAAACACAGGCGTTTGGAAAGATCAAAGGGAGGTGGCCGGGCGGACCAGAAGGAGAGACAACCTTTCTCCATCTGGCGTTCCCACATGTATGGGCTTACAATCCATCATCACCCGAGGCCGAGTTTTGCCGGGCGGGGATGGCCGTTGTAGTGCAAGGCGCCTGAAGAGTCCAGACGTGGAAGAGAACAGCCACGCAAGCACTGAAACTGCGCAGCAGCTCCTCGTGCCTTTTTGAAGGCGGGGGAGGCATCAAAATCTCCTTCCCGAACTCGGGGTCTTGCTTGGAAACCTGCGTCGGCCGTCTTTCCAAAGAATCAGGACTGCTGACTCTCGGCTTCCCTCCTTCGGGACCCGGGGTCTCAGCAGCGGCGGATGCTGGGACGAGAAGCAAGAGGCAGGGTCTCTGCCCCATCAGAACTCTTGAAGGCGACCCAAGTCACTCTGGAAAGTTACATTCTTCTGTTCACCTTGTAAGGTCCCCTGGGAAGTTTCTGTGCCAATCAGCTTCAAAGCGACGCGAGGCCTCCCTGTTCGGGTGGGTGGGTTCCTCGCCTAACCCGGGAGGTGGAGGGTGAACACCCGCCGGAGAAACCCGGGTTGGAACTTGGCGAGTCCGCGGAGCTTTCCTGCACATTCCATGGTTTGGCAAAGGCTGACCTAGTTATTTTCCCCAAGTCCTGTATCAAATTCTTCTCAGGCATACAGTTTTATTTGAAGTCCTGCCCAGGCATCCTTCAAAGTGAGCGTTTGTCCCTGGTCTAATGATGTCAGGCGGTTTCCCCCTGAAACTTTTTAATGTCTTTTTTTTTTTTAAGTTGCGGGGCGGGGGGGGACGACAAAACAAATTGAAGCGTGTGGGAAATCGAACTAGGATTCGGTGCCCTTGAGAGAAGCGGATGAAGGGAAGGACCGCTCAAGGATGGAGTAATGCAGGGATTTGTTCTGAACCGTAGCGAGAGAAGGTTGCCGTGCGGTTTCGGCATGTTCACTCTGCGGAGTAACTTCCCCGATATTTTTGAGGTGGCCTCCCAGGGAAGCGCTCTGCCAACTGCAGCTCGAAACACGCTGTAATTCCAAACTTAAAACGCCCGAAAGCCGCTTCTTTCATTTCATGGGAAGTTATCTGGATCTCAGGGGGTTGGACCCTAGCCCCGATCGGCAACACGTGCAGGAAATCAAAATGCTCGTCTGAGCAAAAGGAACGTTTCTGAATCCACTAAATCAAAATGGCTGCTATGCCTGGAGTTTGATCGTGATCTGAACCGTCTTCATTGGAGCCATAGTCATAAAACTGCTAAATTTAAGAATTGGCAGTTGATCAATTTATGCCGCAATTTCTGCAGATCCGTATATTCGTGGTTATTTCCAGGAAAACATCCTTCCCTAACAAAGTATACAAGGTTATAACAGTAAATCCTTTTGAATTTAAAGGATTTGTTTCTGAGGAAGACCTACTTTCGAATCACCTGCCTCTTAGTCATTGATTTCAGAATCGCAGGAAACATTTTCTTCCAGGAAACCCACTTATACCAAAACCAAAGAAAACCGGGACGAAATGAGAGCATACATTTCAAAGCGATGTAGACTTTATTAAAGAGGGAGTATAAAGC